CATTTCAGATATTTTAAAAACTGCAGAGGGGTTTGGGCAAGATATAGCCCATCGCCGTTTTCAGTAATTGGCATATCTTCGGTATAAAAAGTCGTAATTTGAAAATGAAAATAGGTTCAGAGAGTCAGAATTCGGCTCTAAATTCACGCTCAGGAGTCAAATTTCCGACATTTCAGATATTTTGAAAACTGCAGGGGGCTTTGGGCAAAATATGACCCACTGCAGTTTTCAGTAATTAACATATTTTCGGTATAAAAAGTCGCAATTTGAAACTGAAAGTAGGTGCAGAGAGTCAGAATTCGGCTCAAAAATCCCGCTCAGGAGTCAAATTTCTGATATTTTAGATATTTTGAAAACTTAAGGGGCGGGTTTGGGCAAATTTTGACCAATCGCAGTTTTCAGTAATTAACATATTTTCGGTATAAGAACTCGTAATTTGAAAATGAAAATAGGTGCAGAGAGTCAGAATTCAACTCAAAAATCACGCTCAGAAGTCAAATGTCCGACATTTCAGATATTTTGAAACCTGCAAGGGGGTTTGGGCAAAATGTGACCCATCGCCTTTTTCAGTAATTGGCATATTTTCGGTATAAGAACTCGTAATTTGAAACTGAAAATTGGTGCAGAGAGTCAGAATTCGACTCAAAAATCTCACTGAGGAGTCAAATTTCCGACATTTCAGATATTTTGAAAACTGCAGGGGGGTTTGGGCAAGATATGACCCATCGTTGTTTTTAGTAATTGGCATATTTTCGGTATTACGAGTCGTAATTTGAAGCTGAAAATAGGTGCAGAGAGTTAGAATTTGACTCAAAAATTACGCTCAGGAGTCAAATTTCCGACATTTCGTATATTTTGAAAACTGCAGGGGTGTTTTAGCAAAATGTGACCCGTCGCAGTTTTCAGTAATTGACATATTTTCGGTATAAGAACTCGTAATTTGAATCTGAAAATAGGTGCAGAGAGTCAGAATTCGGCTCAGAAATTACGCTCAGGAGTCAAATGTCCGACATTTAAGATATTTTGAAAACTGCAGGGGGGTTTGGGCAAAATATAACCCATCGCCTTTTATAGTAATTGGCATATTTTATGTATAACGAGTTGTAATTTGAAACTGAAAATAGGTGCAGTGAGTCAGAATTCGGCTCAAAAATCCCGCTCAGGATTCAAATTTTCGACATTTCAGATGTTTTGAAAACTGCAGGGAGGTTTGGGCAAGAAATGACCCATCGCTGTTTTCAGCAATTGGCATATTTTCGGTATAAAAAGTCGTAATTTGAAAATGAAAATAGGAGCAGAGTCAGAATTCGGCTCAAATATCCCGCTCAGCAGTCAAATTTCCGACATTTCAGTTATTTTGAAAACTGCAGGGGGGTTTGGGCAAGATATGACCCATCGCCGTTTTTAGTAATTGGCATATTTTCGGTACAACGAGTCGTAATTTGAAACTGAAAATAGGTGCAGATAGTCAGAATTCGGCTCAAAAATCACGCTCAGGAGTCAAATTTCCGACAATTCAGATATTTTGAAAACTGCAGGGGGGTTTGGGCAAAATGTGACCCATCCCAGTTTTCAGTAATTGGCATATTTTCGGTATAAGAACTCGCAATTTGAAACTGAAAATAGGTGCAGACAATCAGAATTCGGCTCAGAAATTACGATCAGGAGTCAAATTTCCGACATTTCAGATATATTGAAAACTGCAGGGGGGTTTTGGCAAAATATGACCCATCTCCGTTTTCAGTAATTGGCGTATTTTCGGTATAACGAGTCGTAATTTGAAACTGAAAATAGGTGCAGAGAGTCAGAATTCGACTCAAAAATCACTCTTAGGAGTAGAATTTCCGACATTTCAGATATTTTGAAAACTGCAGGGGGGTTTGGGCAAATTTTGACCCATCGTAGTTTTCAGTAATTGGCATATTTTCGGTATAAGAACTCGTAATTTGAAAATGAAAATAGGTGCAGATAGTCAGAATTCGGCTCAAAAATCACGCTCAGGAGTCAAATTTCCGACATTTCGGATATGTTGAAAACTGCAGGAGGGTTTGGGCAAAATGTGACCCATTGCAGTTTTCAGTAATTGGCATATTTTCGGTATAAGAACTCGCAATTTGATACTGAAAATAGGTGCAGAGAATCAGAATTCGGCTCAGAAATTACGCTCAGGAGTCAAATTTTCGACATTTCAGATCTTTTGAAAACTTAAGGGGCGGGTTTGGGCAAATTTTGACCAATCGCAGTTTTCAGTAATTGGCATATTTTCGGTATAAGAACTCATAATTTGAAAATGAAAATAGGTGCAGAGAGTCAGAATTCAACTCAAAAATCACGCTCAGAAGTCAAATTTCCGACATTTCAGATATTTTGAAACCTGCAGGGGGGTTTTAGCAAAATGTGACCCGTCGCAGTTTTCAGTAATTGGCATATTTTCGGTATAAGAACTCGTAATTTGAATCTGAAAATAGGTGCAGAGAGTCAGAATTCGGCTCAGAAATTACGCTCAGGAGTCAAATTTCCGATATTTAAGATATGTTGAAAACTGCAGGGGGGTTTGGTCAAAATATAACCCATCGTTGTTTATAGTAATTGGCATATTTTCTGTATAACGAGTCGTAATTTGAAAGTGAAAATAGGTGCAGAGAATGAGAATTCGGCTCAAAAATCCCGCTCACTAGACAAATTTTCGACATTTCAGATGTTTTGAAAACTGCAGGGTGGTTTGGGCAAGATATGACCTATCGCTGTTTTAGCAATTGGCATATTTTCGGTATAAAAAGTCGTAATTTGAAAATGAAAATAGGTGCAGAGTCAGAATTCGGCTCAAAAATCCCGCTCAGCAGTCAAATTTCCGACATTTCAGTTATTTTGAAAACTGCAGGGGGGGTTTGGGCAAAATGTGACCCATCACAGTTTTCAGTAATTGGCATATTTTCGGTATAAGAACTCGTAATTTGAAACTGAAAATAGGTGCAGAAAGTCAGAATTCGGCTCAAAAATCCCGCTCAGGAGTCAAATTTTCGACATTTCAGATGATTTGAAAACTGCAGGGTGGTTTGGGCAAGATATGACCTATCGCTGTTTTTAGCAATTGGCATATTTTCGGTATAAAAAGTCGTAATTTGAAAATGAAAATAGGTGCAGAGAATCAGAATTCGGCTCAGAAATTACGCTCAGGAGTCAAATTTCCGACATTTCAGATATTTTGAAACCTGCAGAGGGGTTTGGGCAAAATGTGACCCATCGCCGTTTTCAGTAATTGGCATATTTTCGGTATAAAAACTCGTAATTTGAAACTGAAAAATGGTGCAGAGAGTCAGAATTCGACTCAAAAATCTCGCTCAGGAGTCAAATTTCCGACATTTCAGATATTTTGAAAACTGCAGGGGGGTTTGGGCAAGATATGACCCATCGCTGTTTTTAGTAATTGGCATATTTTCGGTATAACGAGTCGTAATTTGAAACTGAAAATAGGTGCAGAGAGTCAGAATTCGGCTCAAAAATCACGCTCAGGAGTCAAATTTCCGACATTTCAGATATTTTGAAAACTGCAGGGGGGTTTGGGCAAGATATGACCCATCGCTGTTTTCAGCAATTGGCATATTTTCGGTATAAAAAGTCGTAATTTGAAAATGAAAATAGGTGCACAGAGTCAGAATTCAACTCAAAAATCACGCTCAGAAGTCAAATTTCCGACATTTCAGATATTTTGAAACCTGCAGAGGGGTTTGGGCAAAATGTGACCCATCGCCGTTTTCAGTAATTGGCATATTTTCGGTATAAAAACTCGTAATATGAATCTGAAAATAGGTGCAGAGAGTCAGAATTCGGCTCAGAAATTACGCTCAGGAGTCAAATTTCCGACATATAAGATATTTTGAAAACTGCAGGGGGGTTTCGGCAAAATATAACCCATCGCCGTTTATAGTAATTGGCATATTTTATGTATAACGAGTCGTAATTTGAAACTGAAAATAGGTGCAGAGAGTCAGAATTCGGCTCAAAAATCCCGCTCAGGAGTCAAATTTCCGACATTTCAGATATTTTGAAAACTGCAGGGGGGGTTTGCGTAGATTTTGACCCATCGCAGTTTTCAGTAATTGGCATATTTTCGGTATAACAACTCGTAATTTGAAACTGAAAATAGGTGCAGAGAATCAGAATTCGGCTCAAAAATCCCGCTCAGGAGTCAAATTTTCGACATTTCAGATGTTTTGAAAACTGCAGGGGGGTTTGGGCAAGATATGACCCATCGCTGTTTTCAGCAATTGGCATATTTTCGGTATAAAAAGTCGTAATTTGAAAATAAAAATAGATGCAGAGAGTCAGAATTCGGCTTAAAAATCACGCTCAGGAGTCAAATTTCCGACATTTCAGATATTTTGAAAACTGCAGGGGGGTTTGGGCAAAATGTGACCCATCGCAGTTTTCAGTAATTAGCATATTTTCGGTATAAAAAGTCGTAATTTGAAACCGGAAATAGGTGCAAAGAGTCAGAATTCGGCTCAAAAATCACGCTCAGGAGTTAAATTTCCGACATTTCCGATATACCCTACATCAGTGTTTCTCACCGGCACCACCCCCCATCCCTGGACCAATGTTTCTCACTCCCTCCCACCCTGTCTGCACCAATGTTTCTCACTCCCTCCTGCCTTCTTGCACCACTGTTTCTCACTGCCTCCCACCCTGCCTGCACCAATGTTTCTCACTCCCTCCTGCCTTCTTGCACCACTGTTTCTCACTGCCTCCCACCCTGCCTGCACCAATGTTTCTCACTCCTGCCCTTCCTGCACCAATATTTCTCACTCCCACCCTGCCTGTATCAATGTTTCTCACTCCCTCCCGTCCTGCCTGCACCAATGTTTCTCACTCACTCCCGCCCTGCCTGCAGAAATATTTCTCACTCCTTCCCGCCCTGTCTGCACCAATGTTTCTTACATGGAGACCAGTAGCATGAGGGCGTGAGTGGGCGGGTGTTGACTGGTGTTGTCTGTCCACAGATGTGTTGGTGCCGCTGTCGACGGTGTCGCGGAAGGAGGTGCCGGAGTCGGTGCTGTGCAATAAGCTGCATAGGCTCTCCCTCGCTACCTTCACCGAGGATGGTATGTTGGGACGCCCTCTGCACCCATAGTCTCTCTATACCCTCTATGTCCATGCTCTCACTGTACTCTTTGCGTCCATACTCTGATCATGCCCTCTACGCCCAAGTAGGGAAGTTTATGACTAGAGACGTCCGCGGCCACCTGGGCAGGTGGTCCACCTAATCTCAGGTGGTGCGGGGCAAACCGTCTCAGCGCCGTGAGTGGTGCCCCTCTCGGACGTCTCTAGTCTTAGTGTGGGTACGAAAGTGTGTTGAAAGTGTGTGTTTTGAGTGAGTAGATTTATATCCTTCTCCGCGTGTGTACAGATGTAGGGGATGTGATGTAAAACGCTCAGCTGTTCGCCATCGTTCAGAGAGTGAGAACCATAGTTTAAGATTCAAATAATTTTTTTTTTTTTGATGTGCTGAGGATGTAATGAATAGTGATGTAAGTATATATTTTTTGTGAGGTGAGCAATCGAATATGAAGTTAAAGAAATTTACTTTTTTTTACTACTAAAGATAGGAAGGAGATGAGTGTGTGTAGGAGTGTAAGATAAATAGATAGATAGAATAATGTATTAAGGTGTGGAAGGGACAGTCAAATAGGCTCACCTCACAAAAAAATATGGTTACATCATTACTCATTACATCTTTAGTACATCCTTAAAAAAAACATTCTTTGAATCTTAAACTATGGTTTCCATCCTCTGGACGATGGCAAACAGCCGCGCATTTTGCATCCCATCCGAGTATTTTACATTACATCCAACATGTTTTGCATCTCGTCCGGGCATTTTACATTACGGCCCCTACATCTGTACACACACAGACAGGATATAAATCTACGCACTTTAAACATACTTTCGTACCCACACTATGACTAGAGACGTCCGAGAGGGGCACCACTCACAGCGCTGAGACGGTTTGCCCCGCTCCGCCTGGGATTAGGTGGACCAACTGCCCAGGTGGCCATGGACGTCTCTAGTCATAAACTTCCCTACTCTACGCCCATACTCTCACCGTGCCCTCTACGCCCATACTCTCAGCGTGCCCTCTACACCCATACTCTCACCGTGCCCTCTACGCCCATACCCTCACCGTGCCCGTCACCCTCCTTTACGCAGCCCGCGTCATCAACCACACCTGGAAGACGACACAAGCACAGTTTAACTCTAAAGTGCTGTGTGTGTGTATAGTGACAAATTGTTGTGTTTATCCATTCACGGGGTCTTTGTAGGTCGTAGCTTGTAAGCTGCTTGTATGGTGCTTGTAGGTCCCGTAGTTTAGGATGCTTGTGTATGTTATTAGTTATTTAGAGGGTCTTAAGTAGATTACCGGACAAGTTTTAACACTCAACACAAACAGAAAGTTCTTTATTGAAATTGATTTTTTGTACGTTCTTTCTACGTTGAAATTGATGAAAGCACAGATATAACTGTTTAAAGGACAACCTGCACTCTATACGTGACATAATAATGTGTGGAAATGATTCCAATAAATGGTGATGTATTTGGTTTTGGTAGGAACGCTGGAGAGAGCTGAGTCTGGCGAAATTGAGTCTGGCGAAAAGAAAAGTAAGTCTGGCCAAAGATGGATCATCGCACCTTGATGGTTGGAAAAGCTGGTGTGGCTGCTTAGTTAAAGGAAACACTTCTAGCTGTGAACATCATACATGAATTTTGCCATTCCCATTGTATTATTGCTAGTGGAGTAGTAAGAGAAATGGATAATGTCACGGATGTCACCATAAATACGACCTTAAGAGAGCACCAAGTCTTTACAACAAATTCTTCAACTGCTGAGATAAAATGAGAACCCCTCACAGACTGCTGTGTCACACTGATGGTCGCTATGTAAGTCGGGCAGCAGATTAATAAACAGCGCGGTAAGATACAGATTTGTGTAGAGCAGAAACCTTGTTTTCCTGGTGGATATCACAGAACTCTTAAATTAATTGAACACACAGATACAAGTTCTCAATAAATTGGTAAGTGTTTTATGACTGTGTTCATATATTCTTTGTTTACATAGGAGAGTACAGGAACAGAAGACTTCCGACTCCTGTTAGCAGGCTAAGAGCTTTCCCATAGCTCATGGTTTTTCCTAGAACACGACTCGCCATTCGGTTAACAACCAGGTTCCCAATTACTGCTGGGTGAACAGGTGATAACAGTTAAGGATTGGCACCCAGTCAATCCTCCCTGGCCAGGACTCTAACCTAAACTGAAACGCTCGCGATGCGAGTGTGTTACCACTACGCCATCGAGGACTGATTTTAAATAAAACTCCAACCTTTCTTAAAAGCAACTTGGAGAGTAATCTATTACACTTCCCATTTATAATCCCTGCACGATATAGTTTACCTAATACTGATACCTAAACAGAAGAGTATTGTAGCAAGATTTCTAACTGAAGGAATGAGTTTCACTAAACATTTATCGTCTTTAAATACCTCGAGAAAGATTTCTCAAATTTTCAGGACATTCTCTATCAGCGTTAATGGAGTCCCAGTACTTATTCTTTTATATAAACAGCCTTAGGTATACACAGCAATGTGCTGCTACGTTATTCTATAAAAAATATTACACAGTGTAGATCAAAAACTAGCTATAAGTTCATTTAATATTCCCATCTCACTGGATGGTTAGTCATACATGGAAGTCCCGGTACTGGAGTTTGTTCCGCTGGAAATAATAGTTCCAATATGATTGTTTTGAGGGCAGAGTTGGAGTGTTGATCTTGGCACATTGTACCACTAAGATTATGCTTGTGTTTGGAAATGTGTCTGTGAACTCTTCGGTAAAGAACATTAACAAATCTCGGCTTCGTTCTCAACTTGTGAACGCCTAAATTTTACTACTGTAGCGCAGTTTTTTTCCTTCAAACTTTGATGTATTGTGACAGACCAAGAGAGAGAGAGAGAGGCTGTCAGCAAGCAATACCAGGCTATAAGGTAATACTGTTTTAATTAGTGGTGGTTCTGTTGTGTGTGAGTTGCACAAGTGTTCCTTGAGGGTGTTGTGTGTGTTGCACTCTTGCTCCTTGAGGGTGTTGTGTGTGTGTTGCACTCTTGCTCCTTGAGGATGCTGTGTGTGTTGCACTCTTGCTCCTTGAGGGTGTTGGGTGTGTTGCACTCTTGCTCCTTGAGGATGCTGTGTGTGTGTTGCACTCTTGCTCCTTGAGGATGCTGTGTGTGTTGCACTCTTGCTCCTTGAGGGTGTTGTGTGTGTGTTGCACTCTTGCTCCTTGAGGGTGCTGTGTGTGTGTTGCACTCTTGCTCCTTGAGAGTGTTGTGTGTGTTGCACTCTTGCTCCTTGAGGGTGTTGTGTGTGTTGCACTCTTGCTCCTTGAGAGTGTTGGGTGTGTTGCACTCTTGCTCCTTGAGGGTGTTGTGTGTGTTGCACTCTTGCTCCTTGAGAGTGTTGTGTGTGTTGCACTCTTGCTCCTTGAGAGTGTTGGGTGTGTTGCACTCTTGCTCCTTGAGAGTGTTGTGTGTGTTGCACTCTTGCTCCTTGAGAGTGTTGGGTGTGTTGCACTCTTGCTCCTTGAGAGTGTTGCGTGTGTTGCACTCTTGCTCCTTGAGAGTGTTGCGTGTGTTGCACTCTTGCTCCTTGAGGGTGTTGCGTGTGTTGCACTCTTGCTCCTTGAGGGTGTTGTGTGTGTTGCACTCTTGCTCCTTGAGAGTGTTGTGTGTGTTGCACTCTTGCTCCTTGAGAGTGTTGTGTGTGTTGCACTCTTGCTCCTTGAGAGTGTTGCGTGTGTTGCACTCTTGCTCCTTGAGGGTGTTGCGTGTGTTGCACTCTTGCTCCTTGAGGGTGTTGTGTGTGTTGCACTCTTGCTCCTTGAGAGTGTTGCGTGTGTTGCACTCTTGCTCCTTGAGAGTGTTGCGTGTGTTGCACTCTTGCTCCTTGAGAGTGTTGCGTGTGTTGCACTCTTGCTCCTTGAGAGTGTTGCGTGTGTTGCACTCTTGCGAGGTCTTCCGCTAACCCGTTCAGCATTATGTGAACTTCTGAAATCTGGCATCCCATTGGAAGGGAGTTTGGCACCTCTGTATTATACCTTATACACCCAGTATAACTTGTATACACACCACACCCCACCAGCCACACCTACGCCCATACCCACCCACCCACCACCCACACCCACCCACCAACACCTACAGCCACCCATCATTTCTGCACCCACTGAAGAGGTCACCCACTAAAATAGGCACTTATCACCCATCTCCCACTTAAGTGGCCACCCGTCATTCACTGAGGTGGTCACCCACTAACATAATGATCCTTCACTCACCCATCACCCACTGAAGTACATGGTCACCCATCACCGACTGATGTGCATGGTCACCCATCACCCACTGAAGTAAATGGTCACCCATCACCCACTGAAGTATATGGTCACCCATCACCCACTGAAGTACATGGTCACCCATCACCCACTGAAGTACATGGTCACCCATCACCCACTGAAATACATGGTCACCCATCACCCACTGAAGTACATGGTCACCCATCACCCACTGAAGTACATGGTCACCCATCACCCACTGAAGTGCATGGTCACCCATCACCCACTGAAGTACATGGTCACCCATCACCCACTGAAGTGCATGGTCACCCATCCCCTCACTATCACGGTTGTCTATCACCCAAAAGCGTAATCCATCACCCACTAGAGTTGACACCCATCACTAAAGTAGTCACCCACTACAGTGACGCTTGAGGTGGTCACCCATGTTCCACTAAGATGGTCATCTGATACCCATTAAGATGACCCATGACACACTAATCTCCTCCTCCTCTTCTCCCCGTGCGGCCGACAGGTCGCTGCGTAGGCACGATGGGCTCGTGGCAGTTCAGCAGATGAGGGGAAGCCATCAACTACGTGTGACAAGACACCCGCACGGCCATCACCACCCCCGGGCTCCACACCTCACACTCCACCGCCTCATGGTTCCACACCTCACACTCCACCGCCTCCTGGATCTCCACCTCACACTCCACCGCCTCCTGGATCATCTCCGCGCCGGAGTCCACGCCTCTACTTCGATCCTGACCATCACAAACTCCAATGTTTACACCGGCACTCATTATTGTTTTTTTTTTACAGCCAGGTTTGTTTACAAAAAACAAATTTCGGGCAATATATTGTTGGTGACCAACGTGTGCTCATTGTGAGTGTATCGTCGATTTTGACCCCATCTTTTGAGATACGATCAAAGAAACTTTATCTCCATTGCGTTCTATTGACAATGGGAAGTTAAGAATTTTCCAAGCACCCAGATCGTGACGTCTCTCAAAGGTGAAATCCACAGCCTATCAAAAAGTCAGAAAGATTAGACACCGGTCTCCATATGCTCAATGGCCTTAGTTGCTAGGCTGCAATGGTGTCATTGATGTCTTGACAGCATCAACAGATAGCAGTGACAGGATGTAGGAGAGATCTCCATGCTGGTTTTCCTACCATGCAAAACTGGACATCAACAACGCAGTTAAGTACAAAAATTTACAAACCGGCAAAGTTTCAGGCAAGCAAACGGGCCATTGGCCTCCTGTGTGCTATTTTTCTCTCGGAACTGTATTGACGTGGTTAATAATGCTTAATATTTCGTTAATAATTCCAGGTTTAAAAAATATGAAGGATTTGAAAGTTGCTAATTTTTGTAATCTTTTGTATTGATGAAAAAGTTAAGCTGTTTCTTTAGTAAAGTGACCAAATAAAAATCTAAACATTTTAAAAGATTGAGGAATACATTACAAATCTAAAAGTTTGTAAATTTCAAGGAAAAATTTTAACTGTGGGGAATAACAAACAAAAACTTATTATTTACCCAAAAGATAAAACAAAAGTCACCCTAGAGATCAAATAAATTCAGAGTGAAGCACAAGAGCCAAATAATGATTGTACTTAAACATGCCTTGGGCATCACCTTGCCTTTCTTCCCTCAGTTATCTAGGCGGAGCCATTTATCATATGTATAGATCATGTTTACACAGAGAGCCTCACCAATAATTCTTGTACTGAGCCTCTTGAGGCTATGATATGATACTTGAGGCTATGATATGATACTTGAGGCTATGATATGATACGGTATGATACTATGATATTGACAATCTTTGATTTACATTTTATTGGTCTCTTTCTCATCAAAACGTTTACATTGACAGTAATTGCATCGATTTTGCTTCCATTTAACCGACATTTTCATTCACTGCTTATCTAACTACAGTGTTTCGTAAACTAATAATTTATGCGTTAATTAAAAGGGATCGTTTAATTATTAATGTTCAGTACATTTGCCCAGGACGTGATGAGTGATGCTGTTCATGTGTTACTAGTGCAGTTTAACAATTACAACGCAATTTGTATGTTAAAACTATTTGTGTGTACTCTGCTGCAACCCCGCAACTCTTCATTCTCAGCCGTCTTTTGTTTATATATATATATATATATATATATATATATATATATATATATATATATATATATATATATATATATATATATATATGCATAACCAGCGTGTTCCTCCAATGTCAATGAGCATTTAGTAAATAGGACCAATTTCCCCATTCTGTAACTTCGACGCAACAAATTGGGTTCGAGTTTGACCACCTTGTAGTATTTTCAGTGTTACTTGCTGTACCGTGGTTCTACGTGGATGGAACAGCATATAGTAGAGATAGAAGCTGGCGTTCCAAAACACCAATGGCATATGCATTGCGTCGTAAGCTCATAACAAAACAGTTTGGAAATATCAAGTTGATCATTCCGCCAGCGAGCCAGCAGTTATCCCTGTGTACTTGTCTCATTACCGTGTAATGTTTTACTAACAGAATACGTGGTATCCTTAATATACTCTTTTATAACATCTATTGTGAAACTCCGTTGGTTAATAATGTTGACTGTACATTAGTAAGTTAATGAATGGGTATGCAGTGCTCATTAAATGGGATCATATGAATATATGACATGAAAGGACGAAAGGTATATATGTATGGGCGAGCATCTGTACAATAATTTTTCTACGTCATTAAGAAAGTGTACTTAAACCCCGATTCTTCCCAGTCATTAACTGTGAATAAATATGGTATTTAACAAAGCTTCTCTGTGAGAGAAACGTAAACAATTTTATAAACGGCTGAATCTGAACCATGGCGGCAATATAAAGCAGGGGCCAGATTCACGAAAGCACTTACGAACCTGTACATCTTTTCTCGATCTTTGGCGGCTTTGTTTCCATTTATTAAACAGTTAATGAACTCCGAAGCACCAGGAGGCTGTTTATAACAATAACAACAGTTGAATGGGATGTTTTCATGCTTGTAAACTGTTTAATAAATGTAACCAAAGCCGTGAAAAATTGAGGAAAGATGTACACGTTCGTAAGTGCTTGCGTATCTGCTTTCGTGAATCTGGCAATCTATACTCTCGTGATTGAAGCGTAGCCTATCTTGCTCTTCTGTATTTGATCTTTTCTGACACTTCTTGCACTTTCATCGGTAGCGTTGGTACAAATTTAGTCAATGTGTATTGGTGAGCACTATGCAACATGAATGTTAAACAAGTCTACCAGAAGAGCTCGGAGGTGTTACATTCCATCGCGACTGTGTGGTGTTGGGTTATGGCGTAGCCTCGTGCAAGTCTCCACAGTGGTGCAAGTCTCCACAGTGGTGCAAGTCTCCACAGTGGTGCAAGTCTCCACAGTGGTGCAAGTCTCCACAGTGGTGCAAGTCTCCACAGTGGTGCAAGTCACCACAGTGTGAACCTGCTCTTATGATCGAGCAGGTTACAGGCCTCCAGATCAACTTAGCAGACCAACCAGCATTATTCTACCCACTTACAAATTAATTTTTATCTAAAATAAATCCGGAATACAGTTTGACTAGACAATCATAGCTTTTAGAATTGTTTATAAACAACGTGAATTTTGTTTTTTCTTTTATCCGTATCATAATTAACTCTTTGAGTAATTCTTGAAGAAATTCTTGCAAAAATTAGACAACACTAACATTATTAAAAGTTAGGTTTTAGGTGTGCATAGTATGTATATACCTTAACTGTTGGCCGGTTTTACGGATTACGATCCAGTGATAGCTTTTTAATATATAAATGCACCTTGTCTTTTGTATTATATTTTGACTTTGAGCGGGAAGATTCGGTATTGATGCTGCGGGCTACAAGGGCATAGTGCAACACTCATCTCTTAAACATGATGGGAACGCAACGTTGAAAGTGGTCAAATGAACGGAAGTTTTGCAATACAACTCAATACATACATAAAAACTCAATACATACATCCATGTGATTATCTTCATTCATGCTTTGCCATTCAAAGTTAATCATTATTTATAGAGCTTGGATTATAAGATATGCTGAATTTGGTCATGTTCAATTATATTCATTTTTTCTTTACTTCGCTCTATATCTTAATGAACTTCAAGTTTGCTATTAATTGTGTTCAATAATACCAGGTGTTGTTTAATATGGGGTTTGGGTGTCCACCTTCCCACAGTCTGGAGAATTAAGCACTAAGTATTGTGCTATGAAAATAATACTTCAGTGTAGCTGATCTCTTTCAACAGTGAAAAGTATATATTACATAAATCCTTAACATTTGATCTTCTCACCCATCACGGGTCGACATCTATATATGAACTTAAGGTGAATGTTGCCATGTTATTCAACGTTCCAATAAGAAATTAGAGTAAATTGGGAATTTGACAACTTAATCAGGTGATCGAATTTGGTGTTTGTTCAGCTGCATATAAGAACGCATGATTTCTCTCAATAAATCAATCTAGTTTATCTAGAAATAAAACGACGCATAATAAACAAAACATCGTACAGAGTAAACTAAAGTTCCATTGACTCACAAACAACTTGACTTTAACCAAAGGCAGAAATTCGTGTTTAAATCCTAGTCTGTTTGCCCCCTTCGGGAGTAAAGTTGTAATCTCTTATGTTTTTAGCGAAGAACACCATTTAAAGTGCTCTAGTCCTTTATACGGATCTTCAAATCTTGAGCCTTGAATTAAATGAGGTATACTGTATAAATCTGGTTTACTGTATAATATATATACTGTATAATGAGGTTTACTGTATAGATCTATCTCGTCGAATTAGTACACACACACAAAATCCTCCAACATAGCTTGTGCAGTATAGCAGTTTATAATGTTGCAGCTAATTGTGTCGGTTCACTACTGGGTAAAGTCGAATTACCTTACGGTAATGGAATATTGACTCGGTTAATCGTTATCATACTAAAAAAAAATTAATTGTCACAATTAGATTGCAATCGACCGCAGGACTAAATACCGTTTTAGCGCTATTATTTTTGTACCCTTAACTTCTGACTTGCCAATGTAATGTAAATCCATTCTGGCAGCATTTGGATTATATGAGATTATTTATATATATATATATATATATATATATATATATATATATATATATATATATATATATATATATATATATATATATTAGTGTATACTGGCAGCAGGTTTTCTTTCAAACATGTTTCATTGAATATGACCGCATATTCTGTATTAATTATTTTCTGGTTTAGGGCTTCTATCCCTCTAACTATTTTCTTAGCATCAGGGCTTAATTGGAATAGGAGTTCTCCAAAACTCATTTTCGTACTTTTAAGGTGAAGAAAAGAAGTGATTTACTATAGATTGTATTACACTTATTTGTATAATTTGCACGACGTTTCGAACCTCCATGGTTCATTCTCAAGTGAACAGGTCTTACAATACTAGTTGATTTTATACCCGCATTAGGTCAGGTGATAATACAATGAAGGTGAAAAACATGGGGGGATACATAAGGGATAAACATAGGGGCTGCAGAAGGCTTATTGGCCCATACGAGGCATCTCCTATCCAAACACAAAGATTAATCCAGTGTAATTGGCCTGTTATGTTGGACATTGTTTCCTGTGTTGGCATCGATATGTTCTTGTCTTGTCCTTACTCTCATGGTGGGTAGAGTAAATAGTTCCGTGATTTGGGTGTTCATGGTAGGTCGCTCTATTCTTATGTGAATATATATATATATATATATATATATATATATATATATATATATATATATATATATATATATATATATATATATATATATATATATATATGGAAAATCCACAGAGAAATATGAAATGAGGTGAACGTTTCGGCTTGTTAAAGCCTTTGTCAACACCAGTCTGGTGTTGACAAAGGCTTTAACAAGCCGAAACGTTCACCTCATTTCATATTTCTCTGTGGATTTTCCGCATAAAATGATCAGATATATATATATATATATATATATATATATATATATATATATATATATATATATATATATATATATATATATATTTGTTACAATCCAAATGCTGTCCGAGTGACTATAATATATATCCACTCAATCAGGGGGGGGGGGGGACCCTGACGGCTGAGTGGACAGAGCTCGGGATTCGTAGTCCTAAGGTTCCGGGTTCGATTCCCGGCGGAGGCGGAAACAAATGAGCAAAGTTTCTTTCACCTTTGTGCGGAACCCGCGTGCACTTACGCATTATCTTCTCTTACCATCCCCCTATATTTTTTGTATATACACATACACGCAACATACACCAAAAAACTCGACAGCAAGAAGTCTATGTTGAAATTTTCTAACCAAAATATCAATTGGAAAGTATAAATTGTTGATGATAGCTGGGGACAAATTTCAAGCAATGGAAACACTAGTTGGACTTGAACTAATTGCTGAGTTTTTCTCTTAGTTTACATACATTTGTTGTGCTAATCTTGAAACGTTGATGAAGAGACATGAGGTACATTTCACATGCTTATTTTTAACATTTAAAAATATGTCTAGCCATTTTTTACTTAAGAATGTGAATGTAAAACAGCTATGTTGGCCTTTATCACCTGCATAATTAAAGGAACGCGATGTATTTCATAAATTCTATGCAACTGAATATTTTTTTAACATACGAGAGATAGAAATCAATCGGTATTGCTCTCCAAGATTTCAATAATCAATACAATCATTTATCGCTCATTCACTGCACTGCCATTTTAATGTAAAAACAAATCCTAGAAAACTTATAAATTACCAAACAGAAACAAAGAGAATGAAGGATGGGAGGGGTAGAAATAGCCTAAGCAACTCTATCCCTTTGAGATGTATTTTCTTGTCTCAAATAAACATAGTTGAAGGGAATGAAACTGAAAAGCAGGAAAGAAATATATATTAATATTAATAATCATCATCACTAGGCGTTAGGATCATTGACCATTGTTTTTCACGGGCGGGGAAAGCCAGTCGTTCTTCAAAGTGATAATTTTCTACCTTTGTGCATGTCACATAAACTTTGTACCAGTGACCGTGATCATCTGTGTGTGTATATATTACCCCCAGTTACTCCTGTGATGATATTAATAAAACTTTTATACCCGGTTCGCATGTTTATTTTGCCCATTATAATAGATGTATGCCCCGGTGGAAGCAGTGTTTTATATATGAAGTTAACTGTTCAGCACATTCTGTTAATTGGGTTCATCATGTTCAAGATAACACAATGATTATTCCCTCGCCAGGGATTGTTATATTTGGGACTTGAGTTGGATAGATTGTGTTCCAAGCTGTTGATAATGCTTCATTTATATCAGTCTGGCATCACAACAATTAAAGGACCTTCGGGTTCACAATATTCAAAATGTTCGGGTTCAAAAACTTGGATAAGTCGACAACCCGTCCTCCGCTCCGAGGCTATAAACCAAAAACTACATGTTAATTTTAACAGGGTTAAACCTAACTGCAGTAAAAATGAAAAAAAACACATTTATATATGGTTCTGATACGTCATGTGAAAAGCTCTTATAGATCCTCTTCAGCAAAATCATCCACATTGGATCAAGTATAATGTATAGCATAGAGTGTGAGATATAAAACCTTTAATTATTTTGGGGGGATGGGAGTGAAGTCGCTTTAATATTTATTTGCTTGTGAGCAATTGTTCTGCTCTAATTTTCGCAAAAGTGTCAAGGAGTTTAAGCTGCATTCTGTTTCTGCCTTTTTTGACTGATAATAAAAGCGAGAGATTTTTCTCGCCTATAGTTTTAATAATTGGTGTTATTAAACTCTTCCCCCATCCCCTCCCAGTCAGTGAGAATAGTCCCACGACAATTAAATTTAGGCACGTAATTTTATTGTATCACAAAACTATTCTTTACCCAAATTTACGTAAAACTTATCAATAATAATTAATATTAATAATGATTCAATAACAAGAAAAAACAATGAAACACTGCAAAATAAGTTACGGAAGCTAGATATAGAATAACGACGAGCCTAAGGCAATATTTCTAGCCACCTGCGCCCAAGCGGTCAGTAGCAACGCGACCCTTGTCGAGGCAGCACGTACATCTCAGTACTAATATAGTCGCCGTAACATACGAACGCAGGCCAAAGCAAACCAGGTGTCTCAGGAGACAAGTGACCGTCTTATTGACCGGAAAGAGCTAAACCGACCAATCTGGGAACAGTTAGTAAGTTAACAAGATGAATCTCTTGACCACCTGCAGCAGCCGACGGCTCCTCTGCTTGCTGCCTCCTATTACGGATAAGTACATGTTGTAGTTTGCCAATAACATGTTTATTTAGCTCTATGGGAACCAGCCACTTTGACTAGACGGTAGAGCGACGGTCTCGCTTCATGCTGGTTGGAGTTCAATCCCCGACCGTCCACCAAGTGGTTGGGCACCATTCCTTTCCCTCCGTCCCATCCCAAATCCTTATCCTGACCCCTTCCCAGTGCTATATAGTCGTGATGGTTTGGCGCTTTCCCCCTGATAGTTCCCTCCCTCCTTCCCCCTTGATGGGAGGCTCGTGGTGCCGTAACCCCCCCCCCCCACACACACACTCACACACGGCTGGTGGCTGACTGGACAGCACGCTGGGCGCGTGATCCTGTGGTCCCGGGTTCGTTTCCCGGCGCCGGAGAGAAACAATGGGCAGAGTTTCTTTCACCCTGATGGGCCCCTGTTACCTAGCAGTAAATAGTTACCTGGGAGTTAGTCAGCTGTCACGGGCTGCTTCCTGGGGTGTGTGTGGTGTGATGTGGGGAAAAAAAGTAGTTAGTAAACAGTTGATTGCCAGTTGAGAGGCGGACCGAAAGAGCAGAGCTCAGAGCTTTTTACTTGTCATCGGTTATGAGAGTTGTTCTACAAATCCCAAGCACTTCTGTTTTACAGGAAGTCAACATAAGTGAACTCAAAAGAATCTAAGGGAAATCAGAGGAGAACTTGAGGGGGTAAGGAACAATGTATGCAAGAAAGCAACATAGCTAGACGATGCATTTATATTTCATAATTTAAAAAAAGATCAGTCATGATTAGTAGGGATCGTGTCAAAATATTAACATAAATGTATGGGATAAGGTAAATGGGATACTGGGATTTATTTCTATAAACATTAGTAATAACATGTCTAATATTCCTTTTTTTTTCCATTGTTAGGATTTGCCCTTGATGGTTACAGAAAATGATAAAGTTAATCCCAGGAATTAGAAACCTCCCTTATGATTATACTTTATAAAGTATAATAAAGTATAATTCTCTAGAACAGCAAACGGTAAGAGGTGATCTGATTGAATTATACAATTGGATGGAAGGGTACAACAACACAACAGGTACAGCACAAGGGTACAACAGGGTAGTGGCTTTACAAGAATGCAAATACTGTACTATCCAATGTATTCTCACAAACCCAATGTACCTTCTTGTATATATATAAATAAATAAACAATGGGGAATATTACATACAAAAATCACCCTGGCATGATATATCTGAGAAAATTATTTGGGGCAATGAGGTGACTAACCAGCATTCTAGCAATTCCCAGACTGTTGCCCTAAATTAACCAACTCGGTCCCAATAGGACAAAATGTCATTCAACCCCAGAACTCTACAGAATTCACTGGAAGTAATTCATTATCGAAAGAAGGCACCAAACCGGGAAGGCTATGCAACTCCATCAAATGTGCGGAATAATCAGAGGAATTCACTGGAAGGCCAGAGTGTAAGCAGGCCATTTGTGAAACCTGGTTGTGGCACCAGTTAAGAGCCTTCAGACCCCTCCCAGTGAATTTAGCAGAGTTCCAAGTTGAATGACTTGTATTATCATGACCGAGTTGATTAAGGCAAGCATTTAGGAATAAATAGAATGCTTTCAAGTCCAGCTTTCCCCAGATTTTTTTTTTCTCAAGGGGGATATTAATAAGGTGGTAATTATAGCAACACAAAATAGAACACGCGAGAAAAACAAATTACCTTAGATAAATTAAGATTCGGTAAAGATCTGGGTTAAGTACCGGTTTGGGAATAGTGTTGGTTAATGAAGCAGATTAGCAGGAACTTTTCTAACCTTCCCACAAAGCAGTCATATAAATGAATGGGAGGTTATCTTGAGATGATTTTGGGGCTTTAGTGTCCCCGTGGCCCGGTCCTCGACCAGGCCTCCACCCCCAGGAAGCAGCCCATGACAGCTGACTAACACCCAGGTACCAATTTTACTGCTAGTTAACAGGGGCATAGGGTGAAAGAAACTCTGCCCATTGTTTCTCGCCGGCACCCGGGATCGAACCCAGGACCACAGAATCACAAGTCCAGCGTGCTGTCCACTTGGCCGACCGGCTCCCCCGAGAACACACACACATGGGAGAACACATTTTTCAGTTCCTTTATTCTTATGCCTTGGCAATGCCACCTACCCAGCCAAAGATGAACCATTGTTTGGGAGGCCACAAAATTGTTTCCTGCTTGACCAATCACTTTTGGTAAGTAGCATACATAGTTGTGAACTGCTGAACACCTTTAAAGCTGGATGGCAAATATAAACTGAAACATGTTATCACTTTATTAATTACAATAATATAAAGACTTACAGAAATATTTACAACTGGGTAAAATCCTTACGAGCCTGTACATAATCAGAAGTAGGTAGTAAGTAGATAAAAACAGATGAATAGATGAATTCAATTTTGCTTTTGTAATCAAAGACAGTGTATCAAGGGTAAGGTGAATGAGACTACACTAAAACCAACTCTTACATGTTGCACAATGTGAAATGAAAATTCATGTGAACATTTCTTTGGTAGCTGTATAAATATTATTTCTTTAATTATCCATTAAACATGGATAGTTCTTAATTATTAAATAACATTGAACATGTTGAATGATATTTAGAAGAAAAATAAAATACAAGATATACAAATAACAAATCTAATAAAATTAACATCTTTATTGTTCAATACCCTGACACACGAACTGGACAATTTTGCCAACAGTTTTAAGCTCAAGAAAATTCTCAAAACATCACTTGGGAGTAGAATTTTAAAACAGTATAACCAAATAGGCTACTATAATAAAAAAAAAAGACCATTTCTGCTTTTGAAAAGTGATACACAGCTATTGGTTTTCAATGCTAGGAATTAGATAATTTTTTTTGAGTATTGCTGAAGGAAAACAGCACATGCAGAATGAAGAACAGTAACATGATAGACTGTGCCATGCTGTAAGACACACAAATATACATTGTATGAGATCCGAGTATCTTCTGCAGCTTAACCGTGTGAGTAACCAAGATACTGAATTCTGAAACATACTTGGGACTTGTACTGTAGTAATATGAGGCTAGTTCACAATGGCAGACTCGATCACAACACACATCAACAGGATTAGACGAAAGTGCAGATGTGAAGAAAAATTGCTGGGAATACTTTACAAATTATATGCCGTAAAATTATACAGTACTTTGTTTCTCATTGGAGGCATTTACATACAGGCTTAGCATATGACAATGTACAGATTACTTAAAATTTTGTTTGCCATTTGTAGAAATTATTTCAAACTACACAATGTGAGCAAATTCAGACTGCCAATAAACTACTACTTAGTTGCAGTTTTATTAAAACAAAAATTGTTTTAATACTTCTAATACAAATAGCAAGCTGTTCCTACTATTCTTCAAAAATTATGCTTGTTTTTGTGCTAATAAAATGAGCAATAAAGCTGCAAGATTCATCCATACATCATCTAGGTCAGTAAAATCTGGATAATTTCAATGGTATTTATGTGCATAATAAAATGTAAAATATGGCATGAAATTAAAGTGTGCACTGCAGGTAGGTAGCATAAATGTACCGTATTCATTTGAAATGGTTCCTGCAACCATTCATATTTGTTATACTGTAGTTATATTCTGATAAAATACTGTTATCCCCCTTCCCCTCTCTCTTATACACACACACACACGCATGCATGCATGCATGCATACATACATATATATACAAACATTTACACATTTTAATACAAACTGGTTCTTTGTGCCATTCACTCTGTGGCCAAACAATCTTTGGCCACAAAGATTGTCACAATATGACATTTACAACAAAATGACCTTATACACAAATGCTTCAGCAAGCCGAATACATACACATATTTACACTAATACACAAGATCTTTGTAAATTACTGGCATACATATCAGTTTCTAATAACATATGCCATCAATTTCTGTCATTTTGCTATTCACATACATATGTACACAAAGAATTCACAAGCTTAAATCACCAAGATCATGGGTGATTCTGATGCAGTGTTCATTTTTCAAGGTGAACACTTACGCAAACCAACTGCTTTTTTCTGGGTGTGGACTGTGTACGTTTCAAACTGCAAAGTCATGGACAGGAATTTCAGCCGATCACAATTGTACATTAAAGTTTGTAATATCGGAGAAAACTTATCCATTAGCAATTCCTGTTAAGTCCTTTTATCACATCACATAGTAGACCACAAATCTATATGTTCTTGAGCACTCATGTCTCTTAAATATTATCACCAATTTAGATACTGACCACTTGGATGTCAGTCTTTAAGCCAACTCTCTACACCACCACCTTTCATCCACAATTATCGACTGCTATTCTTCTGAATATTCTTCTTTCTCTTTGCCAACATATCATAGAATGGATTATGGCTAATACTTTGTCTGAAAACAAAAAAAAATCATCATATAAATAGTTTATAGGAGCAATTTTTACTACATACCATATTTGCCGGCGTATAAGACGCGTTTTTTATTTATGTGTTAAAAAATTGCCCTGCATCTAATGCGGCCGTATTATGGATGTGAGACCAAGTGCCATAGCCTAAGGGAGCCAGACGAGCATACTGGGTAAGTTCGCTAGGCACAAAAATCATTGCTAATCATTCAATATTGAAAACAAGCAGTCATCACAAACTTGTAACAAAAAATTTGATATATTTCAGCAGTTATGAAGGAAGCTCGCATCTCACTACCTTACCTAGCGTATATAACCCATACTTGATTTGTTGTACATTATTTAACTACCGTTACCTTCAAGAAACATTCATTATGGAAAAATGCTCCTAGAAATTTAAAAGGCATGTTAAATTTTCATCCACCTGTCAGCCATTTTCAATGAGTCGATGGCAACAAAATCAGAGTGCTGCAATGGTGTGCCACCACCGGGTGTGCCGTCCTGGTGGCCTGATGCGGCAACACAAAACATTACATCCAGAAATACAAGTTTTGCATCCTGTATAGCATTTCTCTTACCAAAAATATAAACAACTATACAGCTGATCTTAGAGAAGGTAAGAATTGGGGTACAAAAGCCACTTTAAAATATCTTTCAATAAATGTATGATGAAACATACTAAAACACTTTTTCCATAAAATATCCTTGTTAAATAGGGGGGTGCATCCTATGTGAGGGTGCATCTTTTACACTAACAAATACTGTAATTATTTGATCAGACAATGTGCAGACTATCCGCATATATTTCTTGGGCATTAATATTCTGGCCGAGACAATAAAAACTATACTTTCCAACCAATTTTATTTTCAATGTTTACTGAATTAGCGTTTCTTACCTTATACACTTGATCCATTCTTCCTTTTCATCGGGGGTTGCCGCAGACATTCGGTACACAGTGTGCTTGCCTTCTACTACTTTGCCTTCGCTGTCTGTCTTGCATGCTTTTATGAAATCTGTTGATGTGGCATACAACTCAAAGCAATTTGGCTTATTGCGGTCTTGTACTTCACGAACCTGTAACAAATTGGTATATAGCAATGTTTTGCTACTACAGTAATCATAGAGGAGGGAGGGGGGTAGAAGAGAGCAGAGGAAAAATTAAGATGTATATGAGAGTAAATAATAGGAGTGAGAGAGTAAGAAAGGGGGTAGAAGGGAAGGAAGTTTTGAGAAGGGAAGAGAATATCGGGAAAAAGCGGCAAACCATTACGACTGTAGCAGGGGGAGGAGGGGGGGGGGATAGGGAGGCTTGCCAAGTTTTCCTTTGGCAAATGACTAATCTTCCAGGATACAACCCTCAACAGTTACCCGACTTCCAAGTAATAGTTACTATTAGTTAAACAGGCATCAGGTTTAAGAAACTGTGCCCAAAAGCTGCTATCTATCCGAGAACCAAATATGGCTCCAATTGTGTGAGAGCTAACCATGTTAAAAACCTATGCTACAAACATACGCAGCACTTGTGTTATACAAAAAGTTACGGAAGATAGTTTTGAATTAAATCATAATGTGCCTATTTTACTGTGATTAGGCAAAATTGTATCAATCTAGTCAACAAAGATGTTAAATTATGATAATGCACATATTCCAGATTTTATAACAGCTAGAAAGTAATAATAATTACACCGTTTCTGGAATTTCTCATACCTCGATATTCTCCAATGGAATAATCCCTCTTGGCTCCTTGTCTGTAGTGTACTCAAAATAGTAGAGACAATTATCATTGAGAATAAACCATCTCCTCTTCCAAGATTTGTAGCGGCCACCTTGCTTCATAAGCCATCCCTCACGATCAGGATTAAAGAATGTGTGCATCAGATCATTCCCATCATCTTCAGGAATCTTAAAAGGTTCTGTCTTGATACTATCATATAAACTCTGTAACAAATAATATACATAAGATATTTATAACAAATGTCCCAATATTTAAAATACATCACACACATGTATATACTGTACATAGAAAGAGAGTACAGTGGTACCCTGGTTTTCATGTTTAACCTTACCACCGACTTTCTTGAGGTGGAGGGGACCCTTATCGGCATAAACTTCACTACCCATGGCATGGTATATAATTTTATGGTTAGAAAAAAAAAATCTTTACAAAGAATTCAAGCACGATTGTCACTAGGCAGGAGGCACTGGTAAACTGAAGCGCGCTCAGTATTACAAACTCGCATTCAAATTTTACGAAGAAATTGAGTTCATAACCCGAAAAATTCGTACAGGGACGTTTAGTAACAGACGTTGCACTGTATCAATGCAGCACATGATAGTCAAGAAGAACCTCTAAATTATACACCCATACCATTAACAAGTGTGGTAGTCAAAACACTGGAAAAAGTAAGTAAAGCCAAATGGGTTGAACGCCTAGGAAGTAATGACATAATAAACAGTATGGTTTACGAACAGGAAGAACCTGTTTAACAAATCTATTTACTGTAGTTTGTATGATAGCGCCAGAGATTCTACAGGAAAGAGGTGGTTGGGTTGACTGTTTATCTAGACCTAAAAAAAGGCTTTTGATATAGAGTCCCACACGAGGCTGTTCTGGAAACGAACATGCTGGAGGGGTGACAGGGAGACTTCCGACATGGATGAGGGCAGTAATCAGAACCAATGTATGTGACTGGAGAAGTATTACTAGTGGAGTACCATAGGAGTCAGTTCTTGCACCAGTAATGTTCATTGTCTATATAAACGACCTACCAGAAGGAACAGAATTATATGAACACCTTTGCAGATGAAGTCAAGATACTGGGGGAAGATAGGAGATGCAGACGATTATAATGCCCTTCAATTCTATCTAGATAAGTGCTTGGAGCATCAAGTGGCAAATGGAATTCAATGTGAATAAATGACATGTTATGGAATGTGGAATCGGAGAAAATAGACCACACACAACTTACGAATTACGTGGAAAGGAATTACAGAACTAATAAAGAACGAGACTTGGGGATTACCTTACCTTACCTTAAGGTTACCTCGAAATGTTCTTGGGTTCCCATGGCTTGGTCCTCGACTAGGCTTCCTCGTTGCTGGATTGGTCAACCAGGCTGTTTGATGTGACTGCTCGTGGCCTCACATACGAGTCACAGCCTGGTTGATCAGGTATCCTTTGGAGGGGCTTATCAAGTTTTCTTGAACAATGTGAGGAGTCGGCCAGTTATACCCCTTGTGTGTAGTGGAACCATACTTAAAGAGTCTCGGGCCTCTGATGTTGATAGAGTTCTCTCTCAGAGTACCTGTTGCACCTCTGCTTTTCAACGGGGGTATTCTGCACATCCTGCCATGTCTTCTGGTCTCATGTTATTATTTCTGTGTGCAGGTTTGGGACCAGCCCCTCTACCATTTTCCATGTGTAAATTATTATGTATCTTTCCCGCCTGTGCTCAAGAGAATACAGATTTAGGCATTTTAGTCGATCCCAATAGTTTAGACGTTTTACCAAGTGGATTCTAGCCGTAAAGGATCTCTGCCTGCTCTCCTGGTCAGCAATTTCTCCAGCTTTGAAAAGGGCTGTCAATGTGCAACAGTATTCCATTCTAGAGAGCACTAGTGTCTTGAAAAGTATCATCATTGGTATATCATCTCTAGTGTGAAAGATTGTTATCGAACCTGTCATTATCCAAAACCTGGGTGGTTTTGGATAGCAAATTATCTCTAGAGGAACACAAGGAACATTGTGAGAGGAGAGTATGCGTCGCTTATCAACTTCAGACTTGCTTTTAATTATATGATAGAGAAATACTAGACACTGTTCATGACTTTTGCGAGACCAAAATTGGAATATGCAGCAGTTGTATGGTGCCCAAATCTCAAGAAGCATATAATAAACTGTTAAAAGGTGCAATGACATGTTACAAAATAGTTTCCGGAATTGAAAAATTTTGAGTTACGAGGAGACGAGAGGCATTAAACATGCCAAAGCTTAAAGATACAAGAAAAAGAGGATGTGATCACCACTTACAAAATATTAACAGGAATCTACCAAATTGACAAAGGAATTCCTGAAACCAGCAACTTCACAAAGAAGAGGACACCGATTCAAGCTAAGGAAACAAAGGTGCCAAAACAATACTAGAAAATTGCAAACAGTGGTTATCACCACTTACATATAATATAAGAGCTATAATGTTCCAACTTGTACTTGGTTGGAACAAGTTGGGAGAAGGCCAATACTGCCAATTTCAAAGCATTATATGGAGAGAGAAAAAAAAGGGCTGGGTAGGTGGGACACCATAAGCATAGCTATCATCCTGTAACTACACTTGAGTAATTACACACACAGGATGTCCCAGAAGTGTGACCCCATACGACACTTGTGTGTTTAACTATAATTTTTGTTTACAATATACATGTATGAAATACTGTATATGTTGCCTATGGGGGCCAGATTTTTGGACACCCTGTGCTGTATATTAGTACAGCAAAGTAAATGCTAAATAATTTATATTTATATCAAATATAATCACGAACATAATGAAAATGCCAAAAAGAAAAATATATAGGGAAAGAACACTAATTACTAAAAAAAAGTATATCACTTATAAAACTCACCTCCAAAAGTTCTCTTGGAAGATCATCACCATTGTCAATGCCTCGGTTCATGGTGATAAACTGTTCAATAGTTTGTTTGTCCTTGACTGCAGGGTTGTGCAAAGACGTATTCAACATGATGATTGCAAATGACAGCACAAAACAAGTATCAGGGTGCTGGAAGATTGAGGGGTTGAGTTCACAGTATCGGTGGGCAAAGCGTTCCATCATTCTGTCAATCTTTTGTGCTTCTCCAGGCAAACGGAAACTCCACAGAAATTGTCTGTTGGCCAAAATGAGTTTTTATTTATTATAAATACAGTATTCAAGAAATATTGTAATACAGCACAGTAATACTAACCTTGGGTGATAAAGTTTTAAGGCTCATTAACTGTAATAAATTTAAACAAGGTTTAAACCATGACCGAGGAAACATGTATTTTATAGGTTTTAAACAGGTTTTATAAGCAATGTATTGTAGTTGCATAAATGGTTGACAAATCCTGGTCCAGGTAGTCTCATTCCCCAGTGCAGTGGGAATCTTATCAAACTCCCCCAAACTATGGGGGGGGGGGGGGTGGAGTGAGGGGAATTTGACTGGAGATTTCTCAATTGCAGAATTACTTTAAATATGTTAATGTAATTTTCCTCAAACCCTAAACCAAGCTCAGCCCGTCCTCCAAAAATGGGGTGGTAAATGTAAGAAGACAAATAAGTGCAATTATGTACTATTCATAGCAGTTAGGAATTGTACTTATTTTCACTTAGTATTAAATCGTAGTGTCAAATATATTGTGAATATTTGAGTTTACCTGAAAAACTGAATAGAAAACCACAACCTCACCTAACCGTCTTAGTTTTTGAAGATAATAATTTTATTGTTTCTTAATTACAATTAGTACTTAACCTATAGCTATATTGATATTACAGTTTTATAAAACTAATAAAACAAAACTAAAATATATCAATAAATTGTAAATTAACTCAGGGTATTATAAAATTTTGCATAAAATCTATGTTGTTTAATAAACCTGAAAAAGAAATTCCTGATATTTAAAACTTGTGTATAGCCAATTGAAGATGAAATCTTCGTCCTAAAATTCTGAGTCTCTTAACAGAAAACGAGGAGAATTAAATCGGGGGAGGGAGTTGGGTAAATGTAACAGCCCCCTAAGTGCAATTATGCACTGTTTATGACAGTAAGAAAGTGTACTTATTACACTTAGTATTAAATCGTACTGTCAATTCGGAGGATGGGTTGATACTTTCCTTCATGTAGCTAGGGTAGCTACCCTAATGCAAATGTAGCTACTGTAAATATGTTAACAAAAATTCTACCTGCTCATCACAATACTTCCATACAAAATTTGAATCACTTGCATTGGTGAATAATAATTACTGTATTTCTAACTACAAAAAATTTTCACGGCCCATTCTCAGTGCATGCGATATGTGACCGGATATTAACACATTCCCAATACCTGACGAAGATCAGCTATATAACAAAAATTATTAAACTTATTACATCAAGATGATAAAAGGTTTTCTTCACATTAACATCATCTCTCTACCGTCCTTAATGCAAGGTACAGTAATGATCAGGAGAGAGCATTAAGCCATCATGACTATATGGCACATCAAAGGGATACGAGGATTAGGATTTAGGATAGGATGGAGGAAAGGAATAGTGCTACTTGGATGGTGAGAGATTGAACGCCACATCGCAAGAAGTAAGACCGTCGCTCTACTGTCCAGTCGAAGTGGTTGGGCTTGGAGAATAAATGAAATTTAAATTTTATGGATTTCTCAATGAAAATGTAAAAATAAATAAGTTAGGGAATTTATTACCGATCATGCAAGTTCTATTAGTTTATGCTGTACATTATAATCTTAATTTGTTACTACTGTAAACTAAATTATTTATACACACCTTAGAGCCTGTACTAGGATCAAATCGGTAAAATCATGAAGACAGACAAACGCATCTAGAACCGACTGGTTGAAGTCGTTACGTTCACCAAGATAGTCTCCAATGGCTGTCTTGTTCAATCCTTCTCCTTTGTACAGGAATTGTGCAATATCTGAAAAAAATACAGCCATGAGCAAATAAGCAACGAAACAGTTTTTATGCAAGTGTTTACATTTTCCAGCTTATCTAATTATGGCTGCAAGGCAGCACTCACTCAGCAAAAAAAAAAAAAAAAAAAAAATCCTTCACTGCATCCTGTAATGTTTATCCAGACATCCGACTTCACGACCCCATCTATCAGTCAATGATAAAAAAAAATTCTTATAAAAATGTGTTCAATATTTTTCCATTTAATGAGCATATACCTGGAGCATACCTGGAGAGGGGTACCAGGTATGGCGATGGAGAACCAACATCATCAAGGGCCCAGGACTTTTCAACATGCTCCCGCTACACGTAAGGAGCATAACTGGCCGGCCTCTTACAGCATTCATGAGAGAACTCTACAAACGCTTCCAAAGAATACCTTATCAACCAGGCTGTGATTTATACGTCAGGCTGCAAACAGCCGCATCCAAAAGCCTGGTTGACCAGACAACCAACTGGGTCTGGTTGGAGACCAGGCCATGGGGCTGTTGATCTCTAAGCTACACAATATAGACACAAGGCAGAGTTTCGGGAGTAGTTCTACTCCCCTTGCTCAGCCTGCGGTCCAGGTTCCACTTATGATAATTAGGTCCAACAGGCTGTTGCTTGGAGCAGTCCGCAGGCCCACATAACTACAGCTGGGATGGTCTGGCACTTCTTGCAGGAACTTTTCTAAGTTTTTCTTGAAAATGTCCACCTTTGTTCCGACAATGTTTCTAATGTTTGCTTGCTGGGAGAGTATTGAACAACCGTGGACCTCTGATGTTCAGACAGTGCTCTCTGATTGTGCCTTTAGCATCTCTACTCCTCACTGATTCTATTCTTCATTTCCTCCCGTACCTTTTGCTCCAGCATGTTATTCTATTGAGCAAATGTGCCTCCCCACCCCCACCCACCCACCCACACACTCGAGCAATTACCCACATGAGACACAGGGACGTTAGAAAGAACTTTCAGTGTCATAGTAGTTAACAGATGGAATGCATTAAGCAGTGATGTGGAGGAGGCTGACTCCATACACAGTTTCAAATATAGATATGAGAGAGCCCAGTAGGCTCGGGAACCTGTACACCAAATTAATTAAATTAGGTAATTACACTTAGGTAATTACCAGTTGATTTACAGTTGAGAGGCAGGACCAAAGAGCCAAAGCTCAAACCCCGCAAGCACAAATAGGAGAGTACGTACGTACGTACGTGCGTGCACACACACACACACACACACACACACACACACGCGCAGGATCCAAGAGTCAATGCTCGATTCTGTAAGCACAAATAGGTAGGTGAGTAAGCGAGTACACACACACAGTATATACCTTACCCTAATTGGCAGTGTGAATGGTCTGGGGTTCAGGATGAACATAGGTTGGTTATCTCGAGATGATTTCGGGGCTTTTAGTGTCCCCGCGGCCCGGTCTTCGACCAGGCCTCCACCCCCAGGAAGCAGCCCGTGACAGCTGACTAATACCCAGGTACCTATTTTACTGTTAGGTAACAGGGGCATAGGGTGAAAGAAACTCTGCCCATTGTTTCTTGCCGGCGCCTGGGATCAAACCCAGGACCACAGGATCACAAGTCCAGCGTGCTGTCCGATCGGCCCACTGGCTCCCATGGTCGTGGTCACCAAAATTAAAAAAGGAACTTTTTTGAACTATTGCCACATTCAGACCTCCACAATTTTTGGCACTGCCCGCAAGCTAAACAGCTAAATATTTTCAAAAACTTTTCAAACAAAAAAATTCTTTTAGTAATATGCACCATTATTCATTGATCTTGGTAAAATTGGCAAATTTCCTGCACTCAATAATTTGACAATACTTGCATAAGACAATTCTTCAGCAGCTACAAAGGTTTCTCAGGCTCTTTACCAGAGTAAGGGGTAACTAGTCTTTATTTTAGTATGTCACACCACTAAGCAGCTCTCACGGACAACCACCCACACATAAGACAATTACTGTATATTTTTTTTATAAGAGGAGACAGACAGACTGACAGAAACAAACAGTAGAAAGATGGATAGATAATTGGATATGTGGATACACGAGCAGGTTCAGTTGAATAGATGGATAGGTAGGTGGACAGATAAATGAACATTAATAAGTAGGATACAAGGATGGACTGACGGATATATGGATGGATTGATGGACAGATGAATAGATGGTTAAATGGATGGATAGATAGTTGGATATAGGGTTAGACAGCCAGACGGATGGGTGGATACATAGATGCACAGATGGGACAGTTAACTTACCATCAGGGGTGTTCTTCAACAGCCCGTGATCAATTAGGTACTCTATTCCTTTCTTTGGATCCATGTTGAACTTTTTCCTTCCGATGCTCATCTGCTTACTCTTCGGATTATTCTTACTGTGGAATGACAATAACGATATTAACATTATGGCAGGATTTTTAAAGTAGATTTGTAAAAACATTCAAAAGTACTAACAAAAATATAGTAGATTTAATAAAACTTCCATCTATGGAAACTGATGACAAAAGAAAATATACTGTTCTTTAATTCTCTGGCATAAATACCTGATAAGAAGGCAACATCCTAAGAGAATATTCAGTTATTGTATATCTAGTGAAGTTAACCTTGAAGTCCAACTCCAACTAAAAGGTTTTGTTTTAAAGTATAATTAAGGTTTTAGGTGCGAGGCTCTATCTTGCTAGCGGATTTCACTTATTAGACTAAATGATATTAATATATTTTCAACACAGTGCAAAAATATAAATTTAAAATTGTAACAAACACATGGGAAGATTTATAGTGGTTTACGGGAGAGGAGCGAGGCGTGTTGTGAGAGACGAAGAGCCCAGGTGTTGGAGACTGAGAAGGGAGCTCCCTACACCCCGGGCCCGCAACGCTTGACAAGCACCAACATGTAAACACACCCATTGTCCACGGGGTTACCCAACCTTCCCACTTATGAATGGCTGCAACCCTTTGGTAAAGTTCATTCATCCCAATCGCACTCGGCATTAACCAATGGATGAAAAGTATAAACAAAGGATATAATATAAGAGCTGAAACTATCGACAAATGACAAAATTTACTATAGCACTTAAAACAAAGTACGTAAAGATTCTCGATTTTAAAATAAATCGGGTGGAGGGAAAAGGATTTTGAAATAGATCAGCTTCTAAAATGAAATAATTAATTTATCCAAAAGATAATTGTGTGTGTGGCATTATTTATGTACATGTATTAAATATACTGAACATAATAAAGACAATATAGCGTACAGTTTGGAAAACGACAAATACTTGTGCACACAACAGAACGCGCTGGGATGCCAGGGTTTCCTGGTGGCTCAACCCTAGGCAACGCCCACAATATAATGACATCCTCGCCCATGGTGGACCAAACACAGGAAGTCTCAGTGTAACTGGCTCTAATAAAAATTCTCAATGTGCATGTTATGGCTGTCAAAATGTTCCAAAACTGAAAAAATAATGCCATAGGTTTGGAATTTTAGATGGTGTTCAACCTAACCAAGCAATGAGTCTTTGGTACTGAAAATACAAGTCGACTGTAGCAGGTGTAATGAGAAGACTACAGGCAGGTGTAGCCTGTATGTAGCAGTCTAAATTTCTGCCTAAAGTCTAAAGAAGTCTAAATTTCTTATAAATTTAGACTGCCTAAAGCAGTCTAAATATAGTCTAGTAAATAGTCTAAATTTCCGTTCACATTACAAATCCATTTAGAGCTTCCTGTAGTGTTATGGAGGCTTTCCCTGAAATTATTACAGCTTTACAGGCGTTGGCAATTTTCTTTTAGTTGATACAGTACTTTTATGATTCTTCTGGACTGGTGGTTACCCTGTTTAGTAACCCAGCCTGCTGACACAGGATAATCACCTTTAATATATTTTCCTTATCAACTCACTCCTCACACTACATCCTCACTGTTCAATTGCCATCTCTAAACTGTAATGATCGAGAATCTTGTCTAGGTCTAAGTAAACAAAACGCTATAAAGTACATATTAAAAATAACTGGTGTCCCTGAATTTGGATTGCAGTGAGCAGTTCCTGGGAGTCTACCCGAACAGACGAGCCTTCTCTTATGTCCTTATCAGCGTGTTAGGGTCAGGTTGATTTTCTCACACCATTGTTATGCAAGACCTGAATAAAGGTGAACGTGTTCAAGCAGCATTTGGATAAGTTTTTCAGAGAAATGCCGGACCAACCGGGTTGTAGTGCATATGTGGGCCTGCGGGCCGCTCCAAGCAACAGTTGTCACAAGTCGAGCCTGGCCCAAGGCCGGGCTCGGGGAGAAGAACAACTCTTGAAACCATCTTCAGGTATGCTCCTGGTATCAACTAGAACTAATTTAACTCCCTCCCCGATACGCCAGCAACTGCACTCCCTGCTGATCTACTCAAGCTTTGATCTCTACTCGGGAAATACGTAGACCTGCCTCACATAACACAAGGTGCCTGCTTGCCTGCTTACCTGCTTTATGGGGTTCTGGGGGTTTTCTACGCAAAGCCCGGCCCTAGGCCAGGCTTGACTTGTGAGAGTTTGTGGTCCACCAGGCTGTTGCTTGGAGCGGCCCGCAGACCCACATATCCACCACAGCCCGGTTGGTCTGGTGGTGCTTGAGAAAACTAGATTGTTTTCTAAAAAAAAAAGTGCCGCCCCTGCGGGCCGCTCCAAGCAACAGCCTGGTGGACCATGCGCTCGCTCTCAAGTCAAGCCTGGCCTCGGGCCAGGCTTGGGAAGAAGAACTGCCAGAACCCCATCAAGCAGGTATCAAGCAGAACCTCTGATGTTTATAGTGTTCTCTGATTGTGCCTATGGCACCCCTGCTCTTAACTGGTTCTATCCTGCATTTTCTTCCATATCGTTCACTCCAGTACGTTGTTATTTCACTGTGTAGATTTGGGACCTGTCCCTACAGTATCTTCCACGTGTACATTATTTGACATCTCTCGTCTTTCTAGCGAGTACATTTGGAGAGCTTTGAGACGATCCCAATAATTTAGGTGCTTTATCGCGACTATGTTCTCTGTACTCCCTCTATTTCAGCAATCTCTCTCGTAGGCCTACTGGACCGATTCCGGGTCACCGCCCCTCTACCCGGTCTCTGACCAGGCCTTCTGTTTGGTGGTCTGTTCAACTAAGCTGTTAGACATGGCTGCTTGTAGCCTGACTTATGAATCAGCCTGGTTGATCAGGTATCTCGGGCACAATGCAGTTATTTTATTCTCGTGTTCTTGTAATTCACATCCAATGCGTAGGTCATTTCTGTTACAAAAGGCACACCTGCGGTCGAAGACCATTGACATTGTTATGATATTTGTTGGGATGAGTAATGGGTACTCTGTATGCGTTCATGTTAAATTATGTCCATTTTATTGTCCGGTGACCAAAACTGAACTGCATAATCTAAATGTTGCATAATAAGGGCAGGTAATTGAAGAATATTATGTATCTATGCAGCCCGTAGCAGCTGTAACTCCCAGGTACCTATTAACTGCTGGGTAAACAGACATCAGGATAAAAAATTCTGCCCATTTGTTTCCGCCTCCACTGGGGATCGAACCCGGAACCTTAGGACTACGAATCTCGAGCATTGTCCACTCAGCCGTCAAGTCCCTTGCTAACACGTCTAGAAATAAATCCCAGTATCCTATTTGCATTACTCAGTACAATTATGCATTTATTTTTTGCCGTAAGATCTAATAAGCATCACTCAAATCTTTTTCGCATTCAGATTTCCCAATTCCAACATTGTCCGGCCGATATCCAGGTTCTATCACCAATGCCTAAGCTCAGAATCCCTACATATTTCCTCATCAAACTGCATCTGCCAGTCTTTCTTCCCTTTTCAAATCTAGCAAGATCGTCTTGTCGCGATTCTCTGAATTAATTTTCCATTATATTTTTCTATTTTCTGGAAAATTGCAGTGTTGCTAGTTAATTCTGTGTAAACCGTTGATATATACGTAAAACAAGAGGTTCCAGGACAGAGCCGCGGAATAAATAATATATCTCTAAATAAATTTATCCTCTAAATAAATACCTGGGCCCTCGACTGACGGTTCCCGCTCTGCCTTGACTGACTCCACTTATGCTCTCTGGTGGCTGAAATAACCAAGATGCAATCCATCTTAAGATAGCCGCCCAATACCATGGGCCATGTGAGAGGGAGGGAGGGAGGCGAGAGGGAGGGAGGGAGGGAGGCGAGAGGGAGGGAGGGAGGGAGGCGAGAGGGAGGGAGGGAGGGAGGCGAGAGGGAGGGAGGGAGGGAGGCGAGAGGGAGGCGAGAGGGAGGGAGGGAGGGAGGCGAGAGGGAGGGAGGGGGAGGCGAGGTGAGGGAGGGAGGCGAGAGTGAGGGAGGGAGGCGAGAGTGAGGGAGGGAGGCGAGAGTGAGGGAGGGAGGCGAGAGTGAGGGAGGGAGGCGAGAGTGAGGGAGGGAGGCGAGAGTGAGGGAGGGAGGCGAGAGTGAGGGAGGGAGGCGAGAGTGAGGGAGGGGGGTGGGGGTGAGAGTGAGGGAGGGGAGGGGTGAGAGGGTGTGTGGGAGAACATTTTGTCTCTCGTGCGGCACAATACCGAAGGTTTTGGTAAACTCAAGGTACAGACTGTTGCAATCCTTCCCACTCTCACCACTTTGGATTATATAATAATATAACGAGTACTTGGTAAACACCATCGGCCTTTAACAAAACCAGGTTGTCAAACTTTATCAATACATGATTTTCAAAACGGGAAAGATGGCTTTTACCATTATCGAGTCAAGCAATTTTCCTTCAAAGTTAATTGGGTCCTACGAAGGATCGTCGTAATTTCCTACAAAGTTAATTGAAGAGTCCCGGTAGTACAGTCTGCTTCTTCTCTACTTACAATCTAAATTTCTGGGTTCGAATCGTGGGCGGAGGACAAATGGTCGGGCGTGTTTCCTATCACCTAATGCCTCTGTTCACCTAGCAGTAAATAGGTACCCAGGCGTTGATCAGCTTGTTGTGGGGTTCCATCCTGGGAGGTGGTGGTCAGTAATTCGACCCTTGGGAGGGGACCTTGTATAAGCCTACCGTGTATACATGTCATGTATATACCTGTATACACCTGGTCCAGGGTCTCAAACCCTGGACCCCATGCGAGAGACCGACGCTTCTTTTTATATATACCTGTACATACTGCCTGGCTGCTTGTCCCCCAGACACTGACAAGCTATATTAGATAGTTCGACGCAAGTGACGTTTTTCTTCTAAACAATCACCATTACATTTGCAATCCTGGCAAATACTTCGTTCGCCCCGCGGACGTTTAGCTGTTTAGGATTTAGCTACTTGGACTGTAATGTCCATGTAGCACGGGCTATAGTGAGCCCGTAAAGACGACGTTTAGCTTTAATGTATC